GACACGTACATTTTTATTTGTCAAACAAACGGAAAAGAAAGTTACGGTGCGTTGAAGTTCCGCGTGACGTCTCAAGGTGCTACACTTTTAACCACGCATTGACGTCACGGACGTCTTTTGAACTTTGGCAACGGACGTTTTTTTCAATTTTCATTAGTTTGAAAAAGTGAAAAATACGTATCAAGTATTTTTTGATAAGTTAACTGACGGACTAATTCAAACTCTTGCTTTTTTATTCAGGAAACATCCCTATTCACGTAAAGTGCGGGCGCGGACAAAGCCCAGGTGAATTGAAATTTTTAGCTTGAGCGTACTCTGTGTGTCTTCTATCTAGGATGAAAGTTCATACTTGGATGATGAGCACGCCCAAGCCAAAAATCTCGATTCAAAAAGCGAGTCTCTACAACTTACATTGGCTCGCGACCGCGGGTCTCTGGGAATTAGGAGTTACATTTCCAATAATAGGTAGCTAGTAAATTAGTTGATAAGTCAATAGGAGTTTAAATCTACTGTACCTAAAAACAAACTTCATAGTCAATTACTCATAGATACTGCGTTTCCATATCACTCTGTCGTCAATACGTGGTTTTGTAAGAATTACCTAGATATAGTGACCACACTGAAGCTTTGTTCGCACTAGCTGAGTAATGTTGTCGAGAAAATAGTAATTCAGTAGCTAAACGTGTCCTAATCCCATAAATTTAGTCGAGTAGCAATAGTCAGAAGCCACGATAGCCGAACGGTGAAGGGGTCGAACTGGCCGACTCGTGATCCGGGGAACGCGGGTTCGGTGAGCTCACTCGTGACACAAGCATATTTAGCTTAGTACGAGGAGCTAACGGGACTATTAGTAATTTGTGCAATAACAAATTAGTAAAAATCCTTTAAAAAAACCGGCCAAGTGCGAGTCGGGCTCGCACACCGAGGGTTCCGCCGTACAAACGTAGCGGTTTACAATTTCTGACGTATTAAATCAAATTACTTACTTGATTCCGTTGCGAGTAGTGGCGAATTTCAAAATATGCGGTATGATTATTCTTTATTTATTTATTTTTCCTATATTTGCATTATAGGTAGGTACCTACCTCAGCGTTTTGAATTTTTGCGTTGATTTAGAATTTCTCACAGTTTAGAGGCAATTAGATTTAAGAAGTGTTTGATATGAATTTCAACTTTAATATCTCTACGCGTTCATGTGAAAAAGGGTAGGTAGTAAGTTTATAATTATTAAAAAAATATTTTATGTCATGTAAGCAAAAATAATATTTTAAATTTTATATAACTTCAAATTTATCATTTTCGCAATTTTTCCTTTATCTGTACTATATAACGTTGCTTCGTGCCGAATTTCAAGATTCTGAGTTCACAGGAAGTACCTTGTAGGTTTTGATTCCCTAGCGTGTGACGGAAATTCGTCTAAGGTGTCGGTATAAACTGCTGTATCTTTTGATCGCGTTAACTTAGAAGTTTGATTTTTTTACTTCTTAAAGGGACAATAGATCTAGGTATTTGGTATAAATTTCAATTTGATACCTTTATTCGTTCGTGAGAAATAAGGTAGTAAGTTTCATTTTATTAAAATATTTTTATTATATTATATAACTAAAAAAATGTAATTTTCTCAATTTTTCCTATATTTGCATTATATGACAATGCTTTATGCCAAATTTCAAGATTCTGAGTTTACGGGAAGTATCCTGTAGGTTTTGATTCCTTTGCGAGTGTCGAAAATTTGTTGAAAATATCGACATAATCGGCTGTATCTTTTGATTGGCTTGGCTTAGAAGTTTGATATTTTCACAGCTTAAAGGGACAATAGACCTGAGTATTTCATGTGAATTTCAGCTTGATACGTTCACGCGTTCTTGAGATAAAGGGTCTTGACAGACGGACGGACGGACAACAATGTGATCCTATAAGGGTTCCGTTTTTTCCTTATGAGGTACGGAACCCTAAAAATAGTGGGGAGGTGGAATAGACCACTGAAAGTCGGCAACAAAACAACACACTGAATGAATGTTGGTTCAATGTGAACAAAAGCTTTGGATGCATGGAAAAAGTAAACTTTTTAACTAGATGTTGTGTAGTGCTTGCTCGCTGCTAAATGATTTTCTGGATTGTTTTTAAGTCCTAATGGTTATTGATTAGTTTCTATTTCATACTGTACATTGTTTTTCTTAATGTTAAGTTTAAATAAAGACATCTAAATAAAAATGCATTTTTACTCGTGATATTTCTACGAATGTGTACACACATAGCATAAACACCTAAATGACATAAATTAACTCTATAATATCGACCTTTGTTTAACTGTTTCTCAATTTCTCATTTTTATTTAACTTAACGCCTGAATTAAAATTACAAAATTGTATTTTTGCTCGGTCGCACAGCTCGGTAGCTGTAGCCATGTTCCAAAGAAATGAAATGACTTTTACGAGTATTCAGTTTACACCAAGATTTGGAACCTAGAACGTAAAATAAATAAATAAAAAGGTAGCCCATAAGGCGCTCTCTACAAACATGTCTCTGACCTAAAATTGCTGACCTTATTGATCAACATTAATGGCGATCTGATAACTTTTTCCCAGTGCGGGCATTTAGTTCGTCTAATGGTGCGTCCAGACTAGGGTTGCCAGGTCCAAAATCACAAAAGCCGGACTTTGTGTTTCATTTGGCCGGACATTTTACCCTAAAAGCCGGACATGTGACGGGGGGGGGGGTGCAATTAGTGTCAGCTCATGAGTGAGTACTATCATCATCGGTTGCTAAACCAACATCCGTGATGTGTGCGCTTCATATGATTCTGTGGCTCGACTTTCGCCTGGCGTGGCAACCAAATAAAAAGCCTAACAAAAGCCGGACAGGCCGGACAAGGCAATATTTGGCCGGACAAGACCCTAAAAAGCCAAACATGTCCGGCTAAAGCCGGACGCCTGGCAACCCTAGTCCAGACTGGGCGAACGAGCTCGCGCGACAAACACGACATCCTGCTCACTCAAGAGCAGGGTTAGTGATTTAATTTATCTGTGGTCTTAGCAACATTTTACATGAACGTGTTTTGTTGGGATTGGAATTAATTAATACCTGGTTGAATAACGCGCATTTATTAACTTTATTTGTGGCATGGAGTCTTTCATTTTAATCGACTTAAAAAAAGATGCAGTTAACAATTCCAGTAGGTAGGTTATACCTACTCGTATTATCATCGAAAACAAATTTTATAACAGTCATTGTTGCTGAGGAGCATGACGTTATCAATTTGTTATTTACAAGCTTTATTGACTTCGCTTGTTAGTTAGTGCGGGATAAATCTTGCAACTGAATTTAAGTCTTTCGAAATTATTTGAACCTTGCATACTTACTTACAATTATTTTTTTCGTTTTAGTACAACTGCATTTCAGAATTTATGAACGCATGAAGTTTTCACAGTTTTTTCCTAAATCCTCTCAAAATTTGGCTGTGGTTGGATGAGCTTTTTCAAAAGAGTCATCCACAGTCTACACGCACATGTTTTTTGTTACGTCAAATGTTAGCGAGATTTCCGCATTGTATGCTCTATCACGTCATATGTTAAAATCAACCCCCCCCCCTCAACCTTCGAATTAAACGATAACGTGATAATTTTGATTATCAAAATAAGTTTCGTTCAACCATTTCTCATACTAAGTTCACTTTACGACACGTTCACAAGGGCGCTGTTGTAGTTTTCGTACTAAATCTTTTGATGGCGATTCGAGCACCCAAACGATTTGAACTCGAAAGTTTTTCGTGCTAGCCGTACAGCGCCCTTGTGAACGTGTCGTAAAGTGAACTTAGTATGAGAAATGGTTGAACGAAACTTATTTTGATAATCAAAATTATCACGTTATCGTTTAATTCGAAGGTTGAGTAGGTATTGAATTTTGTCGAATAGGTACGCAAACGATTCGAAGACAAAAGTTGTTCATGCTAGAGGCACAGACTGCAGACTAAGTTAACCGCTAGAACAAGATGTTTTTAGTGAGTTGATAATACCTATTTGTCTTTGTATATGTTACAGGAAATGTATGAATTCTAGGAATTGTCTATTCCTAGGAAATGTATTAAATATTGCATCAGGTGATGCGTCTGCTCATTTGCCACCTATCACATAAAAAAAGAGATTTTTTAATACGCACATATCCTAGGAAATGTATACTTTTCCTAGGAATTTTATAGAATTCCAATATTGTATTAGGAAATGTATAAAACTAAGCGGCCTAACGCGGTCAGGTCGTGATCGGGTGCCCTGCCCCATGGTGCGCCTAAAATTTCATTTAGCCCAACCACATTGGCCGATAGGTACTTTTAACTCACAATTATTATTGTTTAGCCTGGCAGTTGTTTTCGCACTAAAATTATACTTTGGCTGAAAAAATATTTACTTAAAATTTATTGGCATACCTTTTTTTCGGCATCACGCATATTATGCTGAAGTATTGGAAACCCTAATTTTAACATCTCTTTTATTAAACTATTATTGGCATGAAGGTTTTAGTACTCCTGTAGCTGGATAACTGTCTGGGTTAGGTTAGGTTAGACTTGCGATCTTACACATACACAGCTGCCGCGGTGGCGCAATAAAAATAATTTGGTGTAAAAAAAATTTAGGCTTAAAATTTGTGTGCGATAGACAATTAGGCGTACAAAAATTTGGCGGTTCGATGGAGACCCCACATAATCGAATGATGCATTACCCTCCCCTCGCACCGCATATCCACGCGTATTTATTAAAATCTTATAAGTATTACATTATTTCCGATTGCTGTTTAGGAAATGTGTCTGATAAAATTTACATCACACATTTCCGGGTGATTTCAGGAATAATACACAATTCCTAGGAATTGTATACAATGGCGGATTTCATACATTTCCTGTAACATATACACCGATCGAGGTTAATCCTCGCCGCGAATACGTTGTCATCAGGTATTTAAAGTTATTTTGACATGCACCTCCGTCATTATTTTAAAGCTCTCAATCGACACCATGGCAGACATAGACCTACACGCAACCAACACTTACGTTATTCAAGACAAATTCGAAATAGACAAGGAAGATTTAGATGGAGAGTTGAAAATTATAGGAACGGACTACACGTACACCCACAGGATATTATGGCCGATTGTGCTAGCCATGGCTGTGTTACACATCGGAGCGATTACTGGGTTAGGGCTGGTCCTTGGTGGATATGTGAAGGTCGCTTCGATACTATGGGGTAAGTTTTTTTTATCCTAAAGTAGCTTTTACTATCGTACGCGTGGATTACATTTTACCCCCTTAGGCCCAGTTTTTTGATTCATAGTTAAAGTAACAAATTGTTAAATTTTGTTACAAATGGTTAAATATTAACAGAATGTTAACTAATAGTTAAAAAATGTACTAAAAGTCAAGCTAACCATTGTTCGAAAAACATTTTTTTCTGATATTTAACCACTTGTCATTTGACATCTGTCAAATTTGACTATTGGTTATTTTAACTACGAATCAAAAAACCGGGCCTTAGGGGTGGATTTTTTAAGTTATATTTATTTAGATAGATAAATAAATTAGTAAAATTAGTCCATTATTATTATACATATATTTCCACATCGCCCGGTTGGTAGCGGCCTGCATCCAGTGCCTTCCTGCTACCTATAATAAGACCTATAATTATTAATTAATTAATTATTTTCAGCAATTTTCTTGTCGTTGGTGGCGACTGAAGGGGCGCACATGGGGGCCCACCGCTGCTTCAGCCACAGAGCCTTCAAAGCAAAGCCGTTGCTGAAAGTCATATTGCTGATCATGCAAACCATTTCAGGACAGGTATTATACCTACCTCAGTTCTATTGATAAACTACTTCCTAAACAAGCTGTTTTAAATAAAATTTGCGCCACAAGTAGGCTAGGTACTAAACAAAATGCGCACAAGCAATCTAGGTACGTACACTAATATTAAGAAGTTGAAAAGATTGCTTGGTTGAATGCGCTAAGCGCCTCACAGTGTGTTATGAGACTGTATAATCGGACATTCTCATTTATTTAATGAACTGTATAGAGCTCAGTTATATGTTATGACTAGCTGTGCCCGCGACTTCGTCCGCGTAGAAGTCGAAAACTATCTCATAGGATTTATACATTTTGTTTATACATTTAGTTAATAAATGCCATAAATGGCTTTTTAACTTTATTAACTAAATGTACAATAATACTTTATAAAATATATTTTTTAAGGTTAAATAAACATGAAAATAAAATGTATGTTTTATGAACATGTAGCTCGGCCTTTGGTCCGGTGAAAGTTACTGGTGGGTACAACGAAACGTTTACAACGAAATGCGGTTCACAGAATACCTAAATCTACCTACCAAGTTTAGCTCTTATAGTTTCGGAACAAAATGTCTGTGACATACGGACGGACAGATGGACAGACAGACATGGGTAAGGGTTCCGTTTTTTGCCATTTGGCTACGGAACCCTAAAACACATAATGTACTTTTTTAAGTTGCCTCAAGACACTGAGAGGTAAATAAGTAATTAATATTATTCATGATAATTCATTCTAAATCATGTATTTCCTCCGCTATTTTCTGCAGTTTGGCACCTCACGTCACATCATTTACCGAAATCAGCCCTATAGCTTTGGCGCAGTTCCGATATCTGATGTTTGTCAACAAAATGGCGCTTGACTCTTGAGACAAGCTAAATTACACCATATGTAACATTTTGTTACCCTGGATCCTCTACCCTTGCGATTGAGTATGAACATTGGACCCGCATAGTCGACTCCACAACGCATAAATAGAAAACTAGGAGTTATGCGCTCCTCAGGTAAATTTCCCATCAGAGGAGCCAGAGTTTTGCCTCTCAATCGTTTGCAGATTACACAATCATGTACTACCGATCTTGCAATATTCCTACCAGCTATAGGCCACCACATCTCCCTGATGTTGTACAAGAGGGTTTGAGGGCCTGCGTGTAATAACTGTTTATGCTCGTGACGGAACAGCAACAACGTAAAGTGATGCTT